ATAATTTGTCAAGGTCTGGGTGGATCTGGGAATACCTTTATCCATGCTGCATGGTGGGCTGAAAAACTCCACTGACTTTCATTTCCCCTGAGAGATTTCACAAGACTATGTTCTTGTTTCTCCATGCAAATTTCACTGCTTAAATCAAGGATTCTGAAACTCTTTTAGCCTGGTAAGGCCTATGGATATTTTTTTCAGAATAATCTTTTTAATGCATAAAATAAAATGTATAAAATTACCAAGGAGACTAATTATATCAAAATATTAAAAGAATTAATTTTTTGATATAGTAAATCATATGCCTCTTATACTAACACGTGAAATAACAAAGTTGAGTGGGAGTCTCCATAACTACTATATTTAAAACGGTATAAACAATATTTTAAGGTACTTGCAGTAACTCTAGTGGTATATGACAATATCTGGATTTCTATGGGTGACAAAGTGACAGTACAATTAATACTACTGTGGTTTGAACAGCTGATGGGAATTAAGGACGTATTTACTGTGATGAGCACAGGGTATTTTATGGAAGTGTGGAATGACTATATTTTACACCTGAAAATAATATTACACTGTATGTTAACTGGAATTTAAATAAAATTTTAAAAAAAGAAAAGAAAAAAATACGACTGTAGTTTATTGCCTACATTTCTATTGACAGAAATGTTAAATTTCAGTTAGGGGATTGTGAAAGTCATGGGACTTTTTCCCCTATTAGTTTCCTTGGTGCATTGGCTTGCTTGGGCTGCCATTACAACATCCCACTTAGTAGGTGGCTTAAACAATGGAAATGTATTTTCCCGCAATTCTGGAGGCTAGAGGTCTGAGACCAAGGTGTCAGCAGGACTGGTTCCTTCTGGAGGTTCTGGGGGAGAATCTGTTTCATGTCCCTTTCCTAGTTTCTGGTGGTTTCTGGCAATCCTTGGGATTCCTTGGCTCGTAGCTACATCACTCCCATCTTGTGACATGATGCATTCCCTGTGCATCTCTGTGTCCAAATTTCCCTCTTTCTATAAGGACACCAGTCATTTTGGATTAGGGCCCACTCAAATCCAGTGTGACCTCATCTTAATTTAATTGCATTTACAAAGACCTCATTTCCAAATAAGGTCATATTCATAGGTTCTAGGGAGACATAACTTTTGGTGGGGGGGGTGGGGGACACTATTCAACCCAGTATACTATCCAAGTTCACATTCCCTGGTTTAAGTGGAATCAGTACGAAGTCTGAAAGAGAGAAATGATGAAAAATGCTAATGGTTATTGTGTTGAAGAGTGAAATTATGGATTGTTTTCTCCTTATCTCTAATTTTAGAAAGTTCTAGAATATGACTTTATTACTTTCAGAGTAAAAAATAAAGAAATTATGACATGTTATTGATTTTAATCATTAGCAACTTTTTAGATAATAAAAGTTCTTTGAATTTGGCCTTAGATAATTTTATTGGCATAAAGGCAAAGGGACCTGGATGGGTAAAAGGCTCCTGCTTTTATATATCTGTGAGGTTATAGATTAGCCAGAAAAGTTTCTCTCGAGGAAAAATGTACAGTCATGTTTAATTCTTTTAGTATAAAAAGAACATGTACAATGTCTCATAGACTTAAGGAATCCTTGGATAAATACAAACTATAAATACCATATAATGAAGAAATTAAAAAACACTAGTAAACATGCCTCATTAAAAAGAGGTATGGACCCTATGTTTGTGGCCAATTTTAGACAAGGGTGCCAAGTACATTTAATGCAGAAATAACAGTCTTAACAAATGGTGCTCGAACCACTAGATTTCCACACACTAAAGAATCAAGCTGGACCTCTTTCCTCAGACCATATATAAAAATAAATCTAAAATGAATCAATGCCCCGAACATAAGTGCTAGAACCATAAAAGTATTAGAAGAAAAACATAGAGGTGAATCTTCACGATCTTGGATTTGGCAAGGGATTCTTAGATATGACACCAAAAGCATAAGTAACAAATGATAAAACAGAAAAATTGGATCTCAACAAAATTTAAAACTTACACATCAAGGGACATTATCCAGAAAGTGAAAGACAACCTACAGAATAGGAGAACGTATCGGCAAAGCATGTATCTGAGAAGAGTTTAATGTCACGAATACATAAAGAATTCCTAAAACTCAACAAAAAGACAACCCAGTTGAAAAATGGGCAAAGGGTCTGAATAGACACTTCTCCAAATAAGAACGGTCAATAACCACATGAAAAGATACTTGGGGCACCAGAGCGGCTCAGTCGGTTAAGTGTCCCGACTTCAGCTCAGGTCATGATCTCACGGGGTTCGTGAGTTCGAGCCCCACGTCAGGCTCTGTGTTGACAGCTAGAAGCCTGGAGGCTGCCTCGGATTCTGTGTCTCCCTCTCTCTCTCTCTGCTACCTGCCCCCCCCCCGCCTTCCTGATTTGCCCTCTGTCTCTCTCCCTCTCTCTAAAATAAATAAACATTAAAAAAAATTTTAAAAGATGCTCACCACTATGATTAAGGAAATGCAAATCAAGAGCACAAAAGATGGCACGTCACATTACCTAGGTTAGCTAACATAAAAAAGATAGACAATAAGCGTTGACAGGAATGTGCAGAGATTAGAACCCTCATACACCGCTAATGGGATTGTCAAATGGTACAGCCACCTTGGAAAAGTTTAAGAGTTTCCAAAATGTTAGAGTTACCAGCTGACTCAAATTTTACTCCTTGATATATACCCTAGAGAAATGAAAACCTATGTCCACACAAAAACTGGGACACAAATATCTACAACAGCATTATTCGTAACAGTCAAAAAATGTAAACAACGCAAACGTCCATCAACGGGGAATGGAAAAACAAAATAAGGCATCCATCCGTACAATGGAATATTATCCAGTCATTAAAAAAACGAGGTACTAATACAAGCTGCAGCATGAATGAACCGTGAAGACATTATACGAAAAGCCACATGTCGGGGCACCTGCCTGACTCATTCGGTGGAGCGTGCAACTCTTGATCTCGGCATTGTAGGTTTGAGGTCCATGTTGGGTGTAGAGATCACTTAAAAAAAAATCTCTGAAATACATATTGTATGACTCCATTTATATGAAATGCCCAGCGAAAGCAAATCCATAATGACCAAAAAAAAAAAATAGATTAGTGGTTACCTGGGGCTGGGGGAAGGGAGGAATAGGGAATAACTGCTAATGAGTATGAGGATCCTTCATGGAGTGATGAAATGTTCTGGAATTAGATGGTGGTGATGGTTGCACAGCTCTGTGAGTATACTAAAAACCATGTTATGTTATGTAAGTTACATATCAATAAAAAGTAGCCCATAAGAAATAAAAAATGTTTGATAAATGTATACCCACTTAAAAACTTAGTCATGTTTTATAGAAATTAAATTTTCACTGAAAACGTCAATCTTGCTGTTGGACACATCTTTGTACTTTATGAAAGAATTGTACTTAGCAAACATAGTATATTTGACTCATTCTTAAGAGGTCCAACACGGCATAAAAAGCTTACTTACATAAATTTTTGTATATTCTCACATTTAAAAAACCACACATACACACAGGGGTGCCTGGCTGGCTCAGTCGGAAGAGCATGCGACTCTTGATCTGGGGGTTGTGAGTTCAAGCCCCATGTTGGGTATAGAGATTACTAAAATATAAATAAATAAACAACACCCCACACATACAATAAAGACAGTCTGACAGCTGGAGCTATCAGCAGAACTGTCTGCTTCCCTGGGATAAACAAAGTGGATAAATTGACCCTGAGAGTGAGATTAGCATGCCAGAGGGTTTGGGAGAGGGCATTTGGGATTAACACCATGGAAAGGAGGGGAAGGAAGCAGGATAGGGCAGGGAAGAAGCTGGACTGCCATGAAGTCTCAAGGTTGGCCCCAGGGGACCCTACAGGAAACTCCAAAGCTGGATGGCCCTTTAGCATTGTCCTGAGTTGGGACAAGGATGCTGGGCCTTTTATATCCCCTTCTTGATTAGTCCCTGGATGCAGATTCCCTGGGGAAGGCAAATGGCTCTTTTCATTCAAGTAACTCCTCCAGGAACTGACAGCTGAGGGAAGGGCTTCCTGCTGGTGGTACTCCCAGGAGCTAGGAGATTTAGTTTATTCCTAAAGGGGGCCCTCGGTGGTGCAACACTGCCTCCACAACCCTATGCTAAAGGTGGTCCCACTTTCATCTCGGCCTATTGCTCAGTCACAAGTCTTTTTTGCCAGTTGATCGGATGAGACAAACTCCTTCCAATCTGATCTCTTTCCCCCAATCACATCTATTTTAGCTCCAGCACCTGATTGTCCCGGGACAATTTACAGACTAAATTGGGTCCCTAGTACTTAGTACGTCTTCGGAGCATTTCTAATCATAATCTCAAAACTACAGGAAAACGTATTTGTTGAATGTCTAACTTCACTAACACCTGTCTCCTTTGTTCGCTGTTTGACAGCGTTGACAACGCCTAGGACGGCGTCAGTAGGGCACACTCAATAAATACTTGTTAGACAAAGGAGGGAGGGTGCTCAGTGCCAATGCCACAGACACTCGCTCTCTCTCTCTCTTAGAAACCCACTGTAACTCGGTTTCTAAGAAAAGTTCGAAATGCTTTACTCTCAAGAAACGGTCGCCATTTCTTCCCTTGTAAAAACACGGAACTCAGGAAGGCCCTATCAGTTAATTAATTTAAGACTCAACCTGGCTCCCCATCCCTGTCGAATTTGCAGAAACACCGCTCCAAACACCCCACATCATAAGCCTCAACCTAGGCTTAAACACTAGGAGCTCCCAAGGCGGTTTACCTCGTTCTGTAATGAGGGTTTACCTCGCTCTAAGATGGCCACGAAGGGGTGGGCCCCGCGGTCAGATTCTGCGAGTTGCGTGGGCAAACGGGCCGGACCGCGCCTCCAGAGGAGGATCTTAACCGCGCAGAACGGAAGTTCCTGAGCCTTCAAGCCCGCGGGGAAGCAAGTCGGCAACGGACCAAGATGGCGGCGCCCAGTGAGGGGCAGGCGTTTGCCGCGGGGGTTGAAAAGAATTGGGGTGCGGTTATTCGCTCCCCAGAAGGGACGCCCCAAAAAGTCAGGCAGCTGATAGATGAGGGGATTGCTCCAGAAGAAGGAGGCACCGAAGCGTGAGTTCACGAGTCCACCCTGGGTCCTGCGCCGGCGGATTGGAGAGGGTTTGGGGAACGCGGGCCCGGGGCGCGGGGGTGGGGGGAATCCTCTGGGTCGGCACTTTTGTCTGTAGGGTTGGCAACGTCCCGGGATCTGAAAGAGACCGGGTTTACTACGTTTACTCGGTTTTAGTCTCGGGATGTACTGGTTTCAGCACCACGGGCGGCATTTTGCTATAAAACGGGTTGCGGGCGGAAGGGAAAAAAAGGCGACTGCTAACTGAATATGCACCTGACATCTGTTAGTGGGGTTTCTTAATCTTTTTTGAGCCTTAGACACCTTTGGCAGCCTGGCAAAGCTTATGAATCCCTTCTCAGAATATTTTTAAATGCATAAAATAAAGTGCATAGCAACATAAAGGGGACCAATTACTTTAGAATGCGGTTATCAAGATAGTAAAAGAAAAAAAGTGCAGTAACATGCTTCATTACTGGCAAGTTAAGTAATCTCTAGTAATAAGTCTATTATTTACCATAATTTTGAAGTAATCATGGGCATAAGTTATATTTCACAACATGTTCAACAACCGTAATGTGACAAAATGCCTGTGTTTTCCACTGGTGACAAATTCATAAGTACTGCTGATGCTACTATGTTTTGTGAGGGGTTTTTTAGTACCTTCATTCGTATTTGAAAGAAGTGCTGAATTTCAGCTAGAGGTTAATAAAATAAACGTCGCTTTTTTCTCATCCAAGTTTATGGATCCTCTGAATTTCTTTCAAGAACTGCACCTCCCTGAGGCTGGCTCTCTGAGAAAGATTCCTAGAATGAGTTTATATCTTTCGAGTTATAATAGCTGCTGTCATCCTGTTTTTATTAAGATGATTTCTGTCCTCAAGGATTCCTCCCTCTACCCCTTCCAGGTGCTGTTGAAATGCCTTTCACTAAAAATAGATAATTGTATTGTTGGGTTTTTTCCTCCCGGAATTTTTTTCATGAAATTGCCCAAAGGTCTTTACTTTGATTTGAATTCTGAAACTCTGGTTTGGGAGAGTGGGTATCAATGGTCGACTCAGGTAGAAACCTATCAAAATTATTTTTCTCTGTGTTTAAAGGAGTTCGATTTGTAAGATGGCTTAAATTTATAATGCATAGAAGCTTTGACTCTCATTTTGTGTTTACTAAAGTTGTGTGAAATACTGTTGGAGAACAGTAAGTGAGCTAGAAGTTCTCCGGTATAGGATTAGTGGAGCACCGTGGAGGTAGAAATGACTTGAAACTTAGATATGAACGAACGGTAAAGAAATTTGAATGCCAGACTGACGAATTTGGATTCTATTTAATAATTATTGTGAACCTAATTAATAATTTTAAGCAGAGGAATGACATTACTGAAATGATTTTTAGAAAGGTTAAAATCCAGCGTGGCATGATTGACGCTGTGATGTGCCGAGAAGCGAGATGCAAAATGTTTAGGGAAAGTGATGCTGTGAAAGATTTCTGAGAGTTCTGCCACTTTATTTTAGGAAGGACACATCTGCCACATTCCAGTCAGTTAATGGGTCACCCCAAGCGGAACAGCCGCCATTGGAATCTACAAGCAAAGAAGCCTTCTTTAGCAGGGTGGAAACATTTTCTATATCCTTCTTTATTAGTTCATGTGAGTTGCACTTTCCGCTCCTGGAACGAGGAATAACAGCACTTATTTTGATGTTGTAAATTTAAGAATTAAACTTGGGGGGAAAAAAAGAATTAAACTTGGTAAGATATTTTATAGGAAAATTAGCATCATAAAATGTTATTCCTCAAAGGGATATTTGAGATGATCTGGCCTTTGCTTTTTGTTGTTTTGTTAACTATTTTGAGAGAGAGAGAGAGAGAGAGAGAGACAACCCCAAGCAGACTCTGCACTGTCAGTGCAGAGCCCAATATGGGGCTCCAACTCTCGAACCTCGAGATTATGACCTGAGCCGAATTCAAGAGTCAAATGCTCAACCAACTTAGCCACCCAGGTGCCTCTGACCTTTTCTTTTTGCAGAAGAAAACACTAAGAGCTTGAGAGGAAAAGGAATAGTAACTAACATTTGTATGTGGTGTGTTTTCATGTATATTATCACATTCAGTCTTCACCTTAAACCCGTGAAAATAGGTATCATTATTATACTCATTTACAGAAGAGGAAACAGTTTCAGGTAGGTTATGTGACTTGCCTTTGATCAGCCTGCTAGCTAATGGCAGAGCCAGGATTATAGCATGAGGCTATGTATACTACACTTCCTGTCTCTTTCTGGATTTTCCCCTATATATTAGTTATCTGTTGTATAGCAAATTACACTAAAACTTAGTGGCTGAAAACAACAAACATGGGGCATGCCTGGGTGGCTCAGTAGGTTAAGCATCCGACTTCAGGTTAGGTCATGATCTCATGATTCATGAGTTTGAGCCCCCCCCCCCCATTGGGCTCCCTGCTGTCAGCACAGAGCCAGCTTTGGATCCTCTGCCTCCCTCTCTCTCTGCCACTTTCCCGCTCACTCACCCTCTCTCAAAAATAAATAAACATTTAAAAAAACCACATTTTTTGTCACAATTTCTGTGGGTCAGGAATCTGGGCATGGCTTACTTGGGTCCTGTGGCTCAGGGTTCCTCACAGGCTGCAGTCATCTCCAGGCTCCGCTAAGAAAAGATGCATTTCCAAGCTCACCCACGAGCTACTGGATTGAGGGCTTCAGCTCTGTAGTGGCTCTCGGGTAGAGACCTCCCTGTGTACCTTGCAGCATGGGCCTATTGACAGGGACAGTTCACAAAACGTGGCAGCTGGCTTCCATCGGAGTGTGCAAGTGAAAGAGAGCAAGACAGAAGCTAAACTCTTTTTGTAACCTAATCTCACAGGTGACATCCCATCACTTGTGCCCTTTTCTATTCACTAGAGTGATTTTTTAAAAATATAAAACGATTACAGACTTGCAGAAAGGTTGCACAGGTTACAAAGAACTTCCTTTCTAAGCTACCTTTAAGTAAGTTGCCAAAGTGATACCTCATTACCCCCAGATATTTCCTACACACCAGGACTTTTTTCCTATGTAACTGCAATGCAGCCATCAAAATCAGGAAATTTCACATAATAAATTACTGTCATTCAACCCTCAGACCCCAGTCATTTCATCAGTTGTTGTAATAATATTCTTTTTTTTTTCTTTTTAAGTTTAAATATTTTGAGAGAGAGAGAAAGAAAGTGAGCAGGGGAGAGGCAGAGAGAGAGAGGGAGAGAGAGTCCCAAGCAGGCTCTGTGCTTTGCTGTCAGCACAGAGCCCAATGTGGGGCTCAAACTCACGAACTATGAGATCATGACCTGAGCCAGAATCAAGAGTCGGATGCTCAACTAATTAAGCTACCCAAGTACCCCCTAATAATATTCTTTATAGCGAAAGGATCCAGTTGAGATTCTTGTTTTTCCTTGAATTTCATGATCGTGATACTTTTGAAGATTACAGGCCAGTAGTTTTGTAGAGAGTACCTCAATTCACATCCATCTGATGTTTCCTTATAGTTAGATTCAAGTAGCTTAGGAATATCACAGAATGGTGCTGTGTTCTCACTGTATCCTGTCAGGTGGCACATGAATTTGATTTATCCCTTTCCTGGTGATAATCACTTTGATCACTTGATTAGGGAGCGTCTGCCCATCTTTGCCCGTCTTTTCCATTGTAACACTTCTTCTTTTGTAATTAAAAAGTGTGGTGGGGGG